ATAATAATAATAACAATATTGATAACAATAGCATTAACAATAACTGTAATGGTTATGATAATAATAACGATAGGAATACTGATATTGATAATAAAAGTATTAACAACACTTGCAATGGTAATAAAAATGGCTATAGGAATAACGATAGTAATAATGGTATTGATAATGGCAGTAATTACGATAACAATAACTACTATGATAATAATAATAATAATAATAATAACAATAATAATGAGAACAGTTATAAACAGATTTATTAGTTCAATATGTACGTTGAATTTTGTTTCCATTTTTTTGTAGTTTTGAGTTTACGAATAAAAGAAAGAAAGAGAAAGGATAACTAAAAATGGATGATTATTTAAAAGAAAACAAAGTAAAGAATAAATAAATAAATCTGATGATAGAACTTTGAGCTCTAAATATGTTGTCGATCAAGTGGAAGAATAGAATTATTTTTCATTGTAAATACTCTATCAGAAATATTCAATCAAAAATTAAAGAAAGCATAATACTTGGAAAAGAAAGCGAAAAAAACAGGATATTCATAATTGTTTCATTTATCCATATCTATTTTTTCTTTTTCCTTAAGTAAGATTTTCACTTCAAAATCAAAAAAGATGAAAATAAATCTAACCAATCGCATGCAACAGACGAAAAGAAAAGGAATAATAATAATGAAAAAGAATAACAAAACCCGCATTCGAAAAGAAGAAAAACAAGCAAAAAAACAAACAACAAAAAACAAACAAAAAACAAAGAAACAAAAAGAAAATCCCTCTTCGATGATTTAATTGAAGAGAAGGAAAGTTGTGACTGACCTTTTCAGAACTTACGTGCTGGCATCCATTGTTGACGAGAGAGAGAGATAGAGAGAGAGAGAGAGAGAGAGAGAGAGCGAGAGAGAGAGAGAGAGAGAGAGAGAGAGAGAGAGAGAGAGAGAGAGAGAGATTGAGGGGGGAGGAGAGGAGAGAGAGAGAGAAGAGGGGGGAGGGGGGGGAGGGATGAAGGGAGGGGAGAAGGGAGGGAAGGAGAGAGGAGAGAGAGAGAGAGAGAGAGAGAGAGAGAGGAGAGAGAGAGAGAGAGAGAGAGAGAGAGAGAGAGAGAGAGAGAGAGAGAGAGGTGAAAGCCTGTGGTATTATCATTATTGATACATTGTTATTATCATAATTATCAATACATTAATATGAATTATTATTATTTTGATGATGATGATGATGATTATAGTAATAATGATAATATTAATAATAATAATAATAATGAAATTAATAATCATCATAATTATTATAATCATTATCGTTGTCGTTGTTATTATCATCATCGCTATCATTATTATCATAATTTGCATCATTAGTATTATAATGATTGTTATTATCACTATCCTTATTATCATCGCTATCATTATTATCATAATTTGCATCATTAGTATTATAATGATTGTTATTATCATAATAATAATGATAATAATAATAATATTGATGATAATAATTATAATAATAATAACAACAATGATAATAATAATGATGGTAATAATCATTAGTGTTATTGTTATTATTATTATAATCATTATTAGTAGTATTGAAATTAGTATGATTCCTATTGTTACTATTATCATTATCATCGTTATTACTTTCTATATCATTAACAGTAATAATAATGATAAAAATAATAATAATAATGATAATAACGAAATTGATAGTAATAATACTGATATCAACAATTATCATTATTATCGGTATTGATATCATTATTACCTGTATCATTATTATCATTATCATCATTATTGTTATTATTATGATTTTATCATTGTTATTATCAACATTTTTGTTATCCTTATTGCTATTGTTATCATTATCATTAGTATCATTATTACCACTATTATTTTCTTTATTGTCTATAATAACATGCATATTGTTGTTACCATCATTATTGTTTTTACCAAAATTTTCTTTATTTTCAAATTATCATTAGCATTGTTATTAACATTATTATGAACATTATCACTGATATTTATTGTTATTATTGTTATCATTATTATTAATATTATCCTTTTTACTCTTATTAGTATTAATATGAAGATTATTATTAATCTTAATTTTTTCATTATCATTGTTATCACTTTTGTTATCATTATCATTATTGTTGTTAGTGTCCTCTTCCTCCTCATTATTATCATTATTGTCATATTTATTATTACGGCTAATATTATTATTACTGTTATCAATATTTTTGTCTTTATTGATATCATCATCATCGATATTATATCATACCTATTATTGTCTACATTATTTCCATTATTGTTTTTTTCATTACCATTATTACTATCATTATTATGATTGTCATTATTATTATTGTTACCCGCGCTATCATTTCAGTGTTATTATTATTAATACCAATACCAATATATTTTCATAATTTGTATTATTATGATCAATAGTATTGTTATGATTATTATCACTGTTATGAAGATCATTATCATTATCATTACTATTATTTTCTTGTTGCTGATATTATTATCATCTTATTTTCATTATCATTATTCTATTATCATTACCATTATTATATTATTATTATTATTATTATTATTTATTATCATTATCATTATTATTATTATCATCTTTATCATTATCATCATTATCATTATCATATTATTACTATACTATTTTATTATTAATATTATTATCTTTATTATAATCATTATCCTCATTATCATTATCTTTATTATTATTATCTCTCATTATCATTATTATCATTATTATCATTATTAATATATCATTATCATTATCATTATTATCATCCATTATATCCTATCATTTATCATTATTATCAATCATATTAATCATTATCCTCATCATTATTATCATTATTATTATCATTATCATGTGTGCTGCTTGTTGCATTGATAGCGTTCTTGCCGACTCTCTGTCAGCGCTTGCAACAGCAGAGCACCAAAGGGTTAATTTTAGAAGGAAAATTAACTGATAGTTTGTCATAGGTAAAGAATATCAGTGTAACAAATGGAAGACTGAGTGATAATGATAATAATGATGATGATGAGGATGATGATAATAATATATAAAAGAATATAATATAAAAATATAAATAACGATAATAGTAATAATATAATAATATATAATAGTGATAATAATAATAATAATAATAATTATAATAATAATATAATGGATAATGATAATAAGGATAATAATGATAAACGTAATGAATGATAATGATAATAATTAATCATTGCTATCATTTATTTATTATCATTATCATTATCATATTATTATTTGTTATTTATTTATTACCTTTATTGTATTTTATTATATCATTATTATTATTATTATTATTATATTTATTATTATTATTGTTGTTATTCATTCATTATTATCATCATTATTATTCTGTTATTATTTATCCTCATAATCATAATAATAATATTTTATGTTATTTATCATCATTATTATTATTACTTATTATATTCAATATTTTCATTATTGTTTGTTTTATTAGTAATTGTCATTACTGTATTATTTTGATTGTTGTTGCTGTTATTATAATCATGTTATCATCATTATTATTCTTAATCAGAATTGTTTTATCATCATTTTTTTATATCATGATTATCATTGTTATTATCATCATCATGTTAATTATATCTTTACTCCTGTTTTCATGAAAATTGAAATCATTGTTTATCATGCTAATTTGTTCCTTACTGCTCTCTTATTCATAGATAATGTCAATATTCTATTCCATTTTGGTATGAATATATTTTTGTGGTCTTCGTAATACAGTAAACAATAATTTGCTTTCATTATCATTTTTTTTTCAATATTTGGTTTATCATCCTTATCAATTATATTCCTGATATTAACATTATACGTCATGTTCTAATCTTGATATTTTTTCATTTTGTCATTGCTTTTTATCGTTGTTACTTATATAACCTTAATTATTATTATCATTTCTTTTATGATTATGATTACTATAATTACTATCGTTATAGTAATGATAGTAGAAATAATGATGATAACGATAAAGATGATAGTAATACTAATAATGATGATAATGATAATAAAAGTAATAAAGTTTATAATCATTATCATTTATGTTAATGTCTTTTATTATCATTATTATTATCATTATCCCTATTATCATTATCATTTTATTGTTACTATTATCACTACTATCATCCTTATCATTATCATCATTACTATTCTATCATTATGATATCATTTTGATTATTACCATTAACATAATCAAGTTCGATTTTAGTGACAGTTATTATCACACCATCAGCATCTTACGTGTGTTTTTCTTTTTTTTTCAAAATGTTTGTATATTTTTTATTCATATTTAGTTAACATCAATTAGAAGAGAAAAAATGATGTCAGGTATAGTGCATGTCCTTGTATATATAGTACGTATATTTGTGTGTATGTTTTAACGCGAGTGTGTGTGTGTGTGTGTGTGTGTGTGTGTGTGTGTGTGTGTGTGTGTGTGTGTGTGTGTGTGTGTGTGTGTGTGTGTGTGTGTGTGTGTGTTTGTGTTGCATGCGCTTGTGCATGTGCATATATTTTTATATTATAGTTACTATAAAACTAATTATAATTTTCCTCAGTATTTTCCGTGCTCACTAATATATTTATATATATTTAATCAACATGGCTATCATCATTATCATCGTAATATTTGCAACACTTATAATAATCACCATCACCGTGTTAATATTTTCATCACCATCATCACCATCACCATCATCACCATCATCATTAGGGGGAGTGAAAGAATACAGCCTCTTGTCCACTGAATTTCTTTTTTATTTTTTTCATTTCCAACGATAAAGAAACGTCGGTTCATCCACTGTGTTGTATAACAAGACAAATATCGGTGCGTTATGTACAAATGATATACAGAATCAGACAAATAAAAAAAAGAAAAAAAGAAAAGCCAAAAAAGATGTAAACGGTCTTCCCGGCCGACGCCCCCGCCCCGCCCCTCCCCTCCCCGCCGCGCCGCGCCGCGCCGCTGCCGTCGAGGCCGCCCGCGGGGCGTGGGCGGCGGGCGGGGTCACAACCGCCTTCGAGGAACAGGCCGGCGTCTTGTGGCTCCATCCAGCGCGGCTGATGGGCGAAAGGGCAGCGTTCCTGGCCTCCTCCGGGCGGCTCTCGAGGCGCCCTCTGCGCCCGCCTGGGCTCGGCGGCGCCTCCTCCAGCCGGCGGGCGTCGCGCCGCCAGCGAGAGGCGCCGCAGGTGGGATGTTCGCTCTTCCGCGCCCACGCTTCCTGTCCGCCCACGCACCCACGCCCGCGGAGCCCACGGGCAGCCCGGGTTTGCTCCGCACGCGGGCGGCGCAAGGGTCTTCGGGCGAGAGAGCGGGCTGCCGGGCGACGCGCGGGCGGCCGGTGGAAGTGGGCGGCGGCGCGGGCGGCGAAGTCCGGCGCGGGAGGGGGAGGAGGGTGAGGGGGGAGGGAGGTATGTACAGGGGCGCAAAACTTCCATATGTACAAGAGCGGCCGCCCCGGGCGTGCACACATACACACACACGTGTACACATGGCCGCCTCTAGCTAACACTGTGCCTGAACCTCTCAGACATTACACGCATATACACACACACACACACACGTCCGTATAAATTATGGCATTAAGAACGTAGTATTACATACACACTTTTTTAATTATTCTCACCATTAATATTATTAATATTTTATTCATCATAACATTACATTTATGCGATTATCACATTTCAAAAGAGTTCCTGCTACCGCGGAGGGACCGAGCCTCACTGGTACGACGTGACACGCTGGCGCCGGCCCGGGGGGGCGGGGCGCGGCGGGCGGCCGCTGGACCCGCCGCCCGACGGGGACTGGGGGGCGCGCCCGGGCACCCACCCGGCAGTCGTCACGCCCGCGCCGAGGGGAATCCTGGGCAGTGGTGGGTGGAGGTGGGTGGCTTCCGCGGGTGGCGCTCCCTGGCGGCGGCGGCGGCTCCCCCGCCTCGCTGTCCGCCCTCGCCCTCTGCCGCTCGCGTGGGCGCGCGGCCTCACAAACACTTAAGTCCTGGCGCGCGCGTGTTACATGTGGGTGAGAGGCATGGGTGCGGGCGGCATCTGCTCGGGGGAAGTCGCGGCGTGGGCGTGGTAGTGTGCGTGGGACATGTAGGCGGCGGCGGCGGCGGCCTTCTGCTGCTCATGGCGCTCCTGGGACCCCGGCAGGTACATGGAGATCATCTGCGAGAGGTCCTGCTGGCCCGGCTGGCCTGGCGCGTACTCCCGCTTCATCACGCTCGCTGCGGGAGAGGGAGGGCTTAGTGCGCTCTGGGCCGCCGGTGAGAGCGGGTTGTCGAACGGGGGGCGGAGGGGGAGAGGAGGGAGAGAGAGAGAGGAGAGAGAGGGAGGGAGGGAGAGAGAGAGAGAGAGAGAGAGAGAGAGAGAGAGAGAGAGAGAGAGAGAGAGAGAGAGAGAGAGAGAGAGAGAGAGAGAGAGAGAGAGAGAGAGAGAGAGAGAGAGAGAGGAGAGAGAGAGAGAGAGAGAGAGAGAGAGAAAGAGAAAGAGAAGAAAGAATGAGAGAAAGGAAAAGATAGAAAGAAAGAAAGAGAAATATACAGATGGGAAGGGAGAAGTAGATGCAAAGAAAGAGAAAAAGAGAAGAGTGAAGATATCTAGTAATGGATCTATATAAGTAAATAACATAGACGTACACCTTAATAATAATGCTTGGTAATTTATGTCATGATAATATTGCACACTTATTAGCTACTTTGGTACAGGACATGAAAAGAACTTGAGAGAGAGGAAAAAAGAGAAAAAGGTGGAGAAGAGAGAGAGAGAGAGAAGAGAGAGAGAGAGAGAGAGAGAGAGAGAGAGAGAGAGAGAGAGAGAGAGAGAGGAGAGAGAGAGAGAGAGAGAGAGAGAGAGAGAGAGGAGAGAGAGAGAGAGAGAGAGAGAGAGAGAGAGAGAGAGAGAGAGAGAGAGAGAGAGAGAGAGAGAGAGAGAGAGAGGAGAGAGAGAGAGAGAGAGAGAGAGAGAGAGAGAGAGGGAAGAGTACAGAGAGAGGGAGAAAGAGAGAGAGAGAGAGAGAGAGAGAGAGAGAGAGAGAGAGAGAGAGAGAGGAGAGAGAGAGAGAGAGAGAGAGAGAGAGAGAGAGGAGAGAGACAGAGAGACAGTCAGAGAGAAGAGACAGAGACTGAGAAAGACAGAGAAACAGAGAGAGAAGAGACAAAGAAACAAAATCAAGAGACAGTAAAAAACAAGAGAAGACCAATAAACCAAAAAGAAAGAAAAGAAAAAAAATCCAAAGAAAAAAAAAAAAGAAAAGAAAAAAAGAAAAAAAGAAGGGGGAGACAGCGAGCCCATAAGCCCCAGTCTCCCCCCCCCGCCCCCCCAAAAGCATTCCCTATCATCGTGTCTGTTGTCAAGAGACCAGTACCGTGTCCGGGTATATTTACGTACTTGGATAATCACCTGGTGTGGTGTGGCTAGCTGAGGGTGGCATGGAGGCTCCAGGAGACGAGACTGGGAGGGTGGGCGTCTCAGACTTTATGGGCGTGGGGGAGTGGGACGCCGAAGAACCCACGGAACCGACGGAACCTACGGATGCCATCGAAGCCATCTGCGGAAGGCGGCGAAGGAGGGGGTTAGTGAGTCGAGAATCTGGTTTGAGGTCGCTGGTTGAAGTTTGTTTGTTTTTTGTCTATTTTTATCTATTTTTTTTTTTTGTTATTCATCTCGTTGCTTGATATTAGAATTATTATATTTATGTATATTTTTTTTCATTACGTTATACCACGAGAGAACGTCAATAAAACAAAATCCAAAAAATTATCAAGAGAATTTTTCTTTAAATGACAACACACACACACAAAAACAAAAACCTTTACAAACCTCTCCCTCCCCCCATCCCCCCATCCTACAACCCCCAAATAAAATTAAAATAAAAAAAATCGAAAACAAAAATTTGCTTTTCAAACACTCACTTGACTCATGGAATAGGGAGACGGTGCTGAGGCGTACATAGCAGAACTGTACGACCCGTTCATGTAAGACGGGGTCGAGGTCGAGGTCGGAGAGTAGCCGCGGGTCATGTCATACCCGCCGTACACCTGACCTGTCATGTACGGGTAGCCTTGACCCCCGTATGCGGCGCTGTCGTACCCGTAGCCTGTAGGAGGAAAAGGGAGAGGGTGGTTAGTTGGTGGTAAGGGAGGGAGGGAGAGGGTGAGGGAGGGAGGAGAGGGTGAGAGGGACGAGGGTGGGAGGGAGGAGGAGGGATGGAGGGGAAGGAGCGAGGGAGAGGGAGGGAGGAGGAGAGAGGGTGGAGGGATGGAGGGTGGAGGGAAGGAGGGAGGAAGAAGGAGAGAGGGTTGGAGAGAGTGAGGGTGGGAGGGAAGGAGGGAAGGAGGGAAGGGAAGGAAGGGGGATGGAGGAAGGAGGGAGGGAGAGGGGAGAAAGGAGAGAGGGTGGGAGAAGGTGAGGGTGGGAGGGAAGTAGGGATGGAGGGAAGGAGAAAAGAGGGACGGAGGGAAGAGAAAGAAAGAGAGAGAGATAGAGATAGATAAATAGATGCTGTATATAGATAGAGAGAATGTATATTATTTCATAAACATATTCATGTCAATTCTTTAATAGTATAGTAATTACAATCAAGTAACATTAAAAACACTTATAAGTAAAGAAAGAAAAAACAAACAATGGAAAAATTACAGCACATGCAAAGAAAGAAAACAACAACATAGAACAGAGACAAAACATAAAAAACAAACAAACTATAAACACACATTCCCCATCCAAGCATGCAAAATTAGAGTAAATAAAAAAAAAGAGACTGACAAGTGTTGAGATCCGCTCTTTCCACCCCTCCCTCTCCACCCCATTCCCCTTCCCCTCCTCCCCCTCCCCAAGCAAATCCCCTTTACCCCCGCCCCCCTCCTCATCCTTCACCCCTTCTTCTCCCGCCCCCCCGCAAATCCCTTTTACCCCCCCTCCCCCTCCTCATCCCTTCACCCCCTCCATCACCCCCCCTCTTCTCCCCCCCCGCCCCCCCCCTTCCATGCTCACCGACCCGCCACAGTTACAGAGTAATCAAGTGGTGCCTAATGTACTTCTGCCGCTGTACACGCCATCGCAAACACGATCTCTGCGATTTGATTGATGGCGAGAAGGTGATCTAGTAGATTGCGTGGGGGGTGGGGGGGTGGGGGAGAGGGTGAGGGTGATGGGTGGGGGTGAGGGAAAGGGTGAGGGAGAGGTAGGTAGAGGAAAAAGAGAGGGAAGGGTGAGGGAGAGGGTAGGAGAAGAAGGGTGAGGGTGATAGGGTGAGGTAGAGGAAAGAGAGGGAGAAAGAGAGGATGAGAAAAAGGGTGAAGGAAGAGAGGAAGAGGAAAAGGGAGAAGGAAGGGAAGAAGGTGCGAGAGAGAGAAAAGAAAGGAGAAAGATAAAAATATACGAAAAATAGCTAAAGTAAGAATAAATAAACCATCTAAATAAATCATCTATCTATCTACACTTGCTAATCGACAAGGCCAACGAATCTGTCAAGATGGCGGCGTTCGGAAGCTCGTGTTTCATGATCCAACGAAGCACGAGACACTTTGCTTCGCTTCGACGTTTCGAGAGCAGCGAAGCCCGACGAGATTCGAATCCCAGCGCGTGTGATCGGTCAGGAGTAGAGCGTTTTGTATCCGTGAGGGAAAAAAGGGATAAAGGTGTGTGTGTGTGTGATTGTGTGATTGTGATTGTGTGTGTGTGTGTGTGTGAGTGATTGTGTGTGTGTGATTGTGTGTGTGTGTGCGTGTGTGATTGTGTGTGTGTGTGTGTGTGTGTGTGATTGTGTGTGAGTGTGTGCGTGTGTGATGTATGATTGTGTGTGCGTGATTGTGAGTGTTTGTATAATTGTGTTTATTTTGTGTTTGTGTTTGAATCTTATGTTTTTTCCCCCTTTTTTTTCTCAGATAATATATTTCTTCTGTCTTCCGGTGAAAAAAATATCCCTGCAACTACATTGCAACCTCTATGCAACACCCACATCCATCTAACCAATCCATCAACTTAAGAATCCACAAACTACCGGTAGATATTCCCCGGAAGTAGACTGAACTACCAACCCCCTCCCCTCCCTCTCCCTCCCCCGTCCACCCTCCCCCCTCCCCGTCTCACCCCCCTCCCCCCATTCCCTCTCCCCCTCCCCGTCCACCCCCCCCCTTCAACTCGAATTTCGTCTAGGAAATGGGTATCCATTAGCGGATAAATATACTGCCCAATTAATCTATCTGTTAATTTGAACCCTACCGCCCTCGTGCCTGTCTCAAGCATTCAATTAATGTTTACATGTTTGATAGGATTAATCGATGTCTCTCTGAGGGGATTACCTAATAGGGGGTAGGGGTGGTAATAGGGGGGGGTAGGGTGGTAATAGGGGGGTAGGGGTGGTAATAGGGGGGTAGGAGTGGTATAGGGAGGGTAGGGGTGGTAATAGGGGGGTTAGGGGTGCGGGTGGGTGGGGAAGGGGGGAGGGGGGGGGAGTTTTCACACCTTCTCCCCCACTCCCTACTTCCTCTCTATCTCTTTCTCCCCTCTTCTGCTCCCCTTTCGTTCCTTGCCCTGGTCAGTCATGAAAATTTTGCTGGAACTCGTGGTAAGAGAGAGAGAGAAGAAGAAAAAGGAAAGAGAAGAGAGAGAAGAAGAGAGGAGAGAGAGAGAGAGAAAGAGGGAGGTGAAGAGAAGAAAGAAGAGAAGAGAAGAGAAGAGAAGAGAAGAGAGAGAGAGAAGAATAGACGACGTTTCCTATTTCGAAAATAAGACAAAACAAGAAATTTTAAAATTCATAATGATGTAAAACATGGAACCCACTATAGATATAAATATAAACATCATTATCCCCCCTTCTCCTCCTTCCCTCTTTCTCCCCACTCCCCTCTTCCCCCCCCCACGTCCCTCCCCAAAACGTATCCAGTGTCCATCCCTCGCTCGCGCGCGCGCGCGCCTGCGTGTAGGAAAGGCCGTGCGATTTGTGGCTCGGATAATTTGATATCATTTGGCTTGACACGCGAGGCCGGGGTTCCTGGGGCGGGGGTAGGGTAGGGGGGAGGGGGGAGGAGAGGAGAGTAGGGAGAGAGGGGAGAGGAAGAAGGGAGAGTAGGGGAGGAGGGGAAAGGCAGAGTAGGGGAGGGGGGAAAGAAAGGGAGAGTAGGGAGGAGGGGAAAGGCGGAGTAGGGGGGAAGGAAGGGAGAAGGATGGGAAAGGGGAGAGATGGGAGAGGGGAGGTGGGAGAGGGAGAGAGGGGAAAAAAGAAGGAGAGGTGGGGAGAGAGGAAAAGACAGAGTAGAGGGAAGGGAGAGGAGAGGAGGAGGGGGAGAGGAGAAGAGAAGGAAGGGAAAGGAAAAAGGGGGATAGAACGGGAGGTAGCGGAGAGGAGAGGGGAAAGAAGGGGGGAGAGGGGGAGATGGGGGGGAGGGGGAGAGGGGAAGGGGTCACAGCACACCTGCGCTCTGACTTTGCAGTTTTGCGTCGCCATGAGGGTGACCGAAGCGAAAGGAAGGGAGGGAAAGGGAAAAGAAGATAAAGAAGAGAATAGAAGGAAAGGGAAAGAGAAGAAGAGAAGGAAGGGAAGAAAGAAAAATAGTGAAAAGAAGAACCAAGGGGAAAAAGGGGAAACAGAAGAAGAAGTGAAAGAAGGAAAATACGAATCCATAAACATCACAAAAGGAAAAAAACAAAAAACAAAAAAACAACGAAAGGGAAGAAACAGGGAAAAGATAACGAAGAGATATACAAATATACAAACAGACACAGAGAAAGAAAGAAAGAAAGAAAAAAAAAGAAAAAGTATGAGAGCAAAAATACAAAAATTAATCTATATACGATATTTTTCCCCTGCTGACCGAAACTCAATATTGAAGTTAATTAAGGTAAATACACAGACACAGTACACCTCAAATTACAAGTATACCAGTCACATGTTCGAACCATGTGTAGATCTCATTAATGTGTAACTAATGTTGATTCACTTTGCTGACTGTCCTTGCAAGTTGAAATGTTGATAGTGTTGCTGTCGGATCCACGTCAAGTAGAGTAATAATAATGTTTAGATGTTGTCAAAATTTGGTCTTAAGGGTAGAGGTAGATAGATGGATGGATAGATTGATGGATAGATAGATAGGTAAGTAGGGAATTAGGTAGGTAGATAGATAGATGGATAAATAAATGGATAGATAGGTAGGTAGGTATGTAGGTAGGTAGGTAGGGAGGGAAGGAGGGAGGGAGGTAGGTAGATAGGTAGGTAGATAGATGGATAAATAATGGATTAGGTAGGTAGGTATAATAAATAGGTAGGTAGGTATGTAGGTAGGTAGGTAGACAGATAAATAAATGGATATATAGATAGATAGATACACAAATAATTAGATGGATAGATATATAGACAGATAAAAATATAGATACATGAATAAACCTAGAACAGATAGATACATACATAGCCAGATAAGTAGATAGATAATGAGAATATAGATAGATATAGACATGAACGCAACTTCAATACACTCGTTGAAGTGACTTGGGAAGCGAGACGTCAGCGTGGAAGTGAGCGTTGAAGTGAGTGTCGACCACTGACATCGCACAGACTACCATGGATTGAACGTCAGCCGCCCTTAATGACATCAGCTGATAATTTATGAGACGTCGTGATCAGCTTCGTAATAGCCCCCCCCCCTTCTATACGCCCCCCTCTCCCTGTCCTATCTAGCTCCCCTATCTCTCTTTTCTTCTCTCTTAATTTCTCTCTGTCTCGAATTCTTGTTTTTTTTTTCTCTCTCTTTCGTGTTATTTATCTTTTTTTTTTTTATGAATTTTTTCTTGCTCTTCACCTTCTATCTTGGTTTTCCCTTCTACCTCTCCCCTTCTCCCCTTTTCCCCTTCCCCTTCTCCCTCCCCCTTTTCCCCTCTCCCTTTCCCCTTTCCCCCTTCCCTTCCCCCTCCCCTACTCCATCCCTCCCCCCTTGAAAAAAAAAAATTATGGCACAACCTCGATCTATTTTTAGCACCCATTTCGAACCGACACACACGTCCGCGATCTGACAAATGTTCTGCGCATAAATTAACCCTATTTGATACTTTCTATCATTTTTATATCGATGGAAATTCAAATTTGATTTTTTTTAGGGCGGTCGAAATGACGATGTGTTTACTAATATGTACATACGGGCACGCGTACATACACTTGCGCGAGTGTATGTGCAAAAAACAGGAGATAAAGATAGAGAGAGGGAGGGAGGGAAGGGAGGGAGGGAGGAGGGGGAAAGAGGGAGAGAGAGAGAGAGAGAGAGAGAGAGAGAGAGAGAGAGAGAGAGAGAGAGAGAGAGAGAGAGAGAGAGAGAGAGAGAGAGAGAGAGAGAGAAGAGAGAGAGATATAATAGATACATAAAAAAAATGCACAAATCAATTAACAGCGAGAGAGAGAGAAAGAGAAGTAGAAATAAAGTGAACGAGACAAACACAAATAAAAAGAAAGAAAGAAAGAAAGAAAGAAAGGATAAAATAAGAAAGAAAGAAAGAAAGAGAGAAAGAATAAAATAAGAAAGAAAGAAAAAGAGAAAGAAAAATATCCAGAGAAATCCAGGCAGATCGCCCCAGGTAGGAAGACACGGCAGCTAAGGCACGTAAAGCCCAGGAGAAGATCCCTCCCCCCCCCCCTCCCCCCTCCCGCTTCCCCCTCCCCCCAGCTTGCCCATCCCCAACCCCCCCTCCTTATCCCCCCTAATCCCCCCTCCCCTCCTCATGGTCGAAGTTCTAAACTGTATCATATCACCAGGAAGATAAGATCGCGAGGAGGAGAGAAAGAGAAGGAAGAGGAGGAAGACGAGGAGAGGAGGAGGAGGAGGAGAGAGGAGGAGGGAGGAGGAGGAGGAGGAGGAGAGGAGGAGGAGGAGGAGGAGGAGGAGGAGGAGGATAAGAAAGGAGGAGGAGGGGGGAGGAGAAGGAGAATTGATGGAGAGGAGGAGGAGGGGGAGAAAGAAGAAGAGCAAGAGGAGGAGGATTAGTATTAATAGTGGAAGTAATAACAATAGTAGTAGTAGTGGTAGTAGTAGTAGCAGTAGTAATCGTAGTAGCTAAGGAAGAGGAGGAGGAAGAAGAAGAAGAAGAAGAAAAGAAAAAGATGACGAAGAAGAAGAAAATAATAATAACGATATGAAGGAAAAGACGAATAAGAAGAAAAAAAAAAGAACTAGAAAAAAAAAGAAAAAAAGAGAGAGAGAAAAAAAAACTGACGAGGAACAGAGCGAAACGAGAGAGAGAGAGAGAGAGAGAGAGAAGGAGTAGGAGGAGAGGGGAGGAGCAGGAGTGGGTTAAGGAAGTATTACAAACACCCAGGTAGTGTAGATCTGACAGAAGGTTCAGTAGATAAGTAGATAGGAGGCGCCACCTGGACCGCTGGTAGATCAATTAGGTGGGACTGAACACCAAGATGGGGTTCTACTTACAAGCAGGTAAGTGATAGGATGGAAGGAGGGGGAAGGGAAGGAGGGAGGGAGGAGGGGAGGGGAAAGAGGAGAGAGAGAGAGGTAAGGAGGGTGTGTGTGTCGCGCGTGTGTTGGGGTGTAGGCGCTTGTGTGTGTGTGTGTTGTTCGTGTGCGTTTTATGGGGTGTGTGTGTTTTCGCGAGGGTGAGTGTAGGTGTATGTACGTTTAAATGTATGTAAGTGTTGATTTTAAAAATTCCAACACTCGCCTACAATCGGGCGCCTCCCCCAACCCCCTGAAATCGGCGGTCAAGTGTATTAACGCAAAAATCTGTCTACGAAATCTGTAACAAAGCGGTTTCTCTCGGAGGCTCTGCTGGAAGGTGAGTCGGGGAATCTGATACACAGGATGTCACAGATTAGTGACGTAAGGGTGGTGTTCTGGGGGCTTCCCCGCCCCTCCCTTCCCTTCCTACCCTCCCTCCTCTCTGTACTCTCCTCCCCTCTTCCCTCCCTCCCTCCTACCTACACGTTTTTCCGCAATCCTTCCCTCTCTCCTTCTCCCCTTCCCTCCTTCCTATCTACACTCTCCTCTTCCCTCCCTCCCTCCCTCCCTCCCTCCTCTCCTTCTCTCCCTTCTTCCTTCCCTCCCTCCTTCTCTCCTATCTACACCGTCCTCTTTACTCCCTCTTTCCTTCTCTCCTCTCCCTCCCTTCTCTATTCCCCACTCCTTCCTCCCTTCCCTAGTTTACCTTGCGTTTACCTTTCCATTTGTACGTTGGGTAAAAGTAGGTAAAACAAGTGCAATGTCATCTATACAGCTCTTCATCTATGTCGACCTGATGCGTGTTATTTTGTGTCTGTTTGTTCTTACTGTCTGTTCTCTCTCCCTCTGTCTATCTCTCTCTCTTTCTATCTATCTATATTTCTCTCTGTCTGTCTGTGGGTCTTATTTTCTTTCACTACTATCTCTCTCTCTCTCTCTCTCTCTCTCTATCTATCTATCTACCTATCTATCGATCTGTCTTTCTGTCTCCTTCTCTCACAGTTTCTCCCCTTTTCTCTACGGATTTTTGTTCCCTCTCCTCCTCCCCTTCTTCGTCTTCATCTTCCCAATTACGGCTCCCTTTCTCCTCTCTCCTCATTCTCATTATCTGCTTCCTTCTTTTCTTCCATTCTCCTTCTCCTTTCTCTTTCTCTCCCTCTTACGCTTCACCGGTTAATTAGCACAGATTATGGGGCTGCTGCTCCGAGCGTTGGAGGTTGGGGAAGAGGGAGGAGGGGGGAGAGGGGGTTCTGGTGGGACAGGGAAGAGGAGGGGGAGGGAGGAGGGGAGAGGGAGGAGGAGTGGTCCTCGGTGTGTTGGAGCGAAAGGTAGGAAGGGGGAGGGGAGGGGAGGGAAGGGGAAGGAAGGGGAGAGGGTAGGGAAAGGAGGGGGTACCCAGTAGGGGCGCATAGCCTTGATGGTATGACTGTATATGGGTCAGCTAATATTTCTTTGTTTTCTTTTTTTTTTGTTTACAGATGTGTATGGCATCCTTGTGGCTTTAATTTGAGGGTCGTTTGCCTTAGAGGTAGAAAAAATAGGGAAATGCACATTCACACAAGAAAAAAAATATATATTTACACACCGTTAGGTGAAAAATAGCTAATATAAAAGCAAAATTGAGCCAACCACAAAAATTAATGTGCAAGGAAAAATGTAAAAAAATGATAATAGCAGTAGTATTAGTAGAAGTAATGAATATAATAAAGATAATGATGATAATAATAACAGTAGCAGTAGTAGAAGTAATAATAATAATAATGATAGTGATATTAATAATAATAACAACAATAATGATAATAACAACAAAAACAACAACAACAACAACAATAACAAGAACACTACCAAAACCACCAAGAAGAAAGAAAACGAAAAATTAAAGAAAGAAAGAAAGAAAGAAAAAAATTACATATCAATAACACCAGCACCATAGACAACGTAAAAAAAAATCGCGGATTCGAACTTACGCCACTCACCATAGTCGCCATAATCCCCGTTCGGCATGTACCCGTTGGTCATGTTGTACATATCCCGGGTCACCTGCTGCACTGGGGGTCGCGTGGGGTCAGTGGGGAGGAGACCCGAGGCTAAGGGGTACTTGTCCTTTTTCATCAAGGTCTTGGTCTTCCGCCGAGGTCTGTGCGGGGGGGAGAGAGAGAAGAGGGGGGTGTTGGTTAGATTTTGCTGTTGGGAAGGTGGTTGGGGGGGGGTCTTTGGGGGTCTTTGGGGGGGGTCTGGGGGGTCTTTGGGGGTCTTTGGGGTCTTTGGTCTTTGGGGAGGGATGGGGTGGGGTGGATGGGAGAAATGGTGAATCGTGTTTGTAATATATGAGTTGGTGGAGATCGAGAGAGAGGGAGGGAGGGAGAGATGGGGAAGGGGAGGATGAGGGAGTGGAGGAGGGGAGGGAAGGGGGGGGGGAGGGAGGGAGAGGATGAGGACTGGTATGGAGGTTGTGGGCATCTCTCTCTATCTCTCAGATACACTTCAAGGTAAAATATGTACGTTTACCATATATAATATATATATATATATATATATATATATATATATATATATATATATATATATATATATATATATATATATATATATATATAATATATATATATATATATATATATATATATATATATATATACATATATATATATATTGTATATATATATATGTTGACAGGTGTCCATGTATATCCATGGATACAGATATATTATTATAATTTTCGTTTTTTTCCAGAGAAATAATAGACAGACAGAAAGATGTGGCAAAGTAAAAGTTAGAAATTTGATAATAATAATAATGATAATAATAATAATGATAATTTTGATAATAATAGCAAGAACATCGTTAATAATAGATGCAACAAAACAGCGTTGGTAACAACAGTTGTGAAAAAAAAGAAAAAAAGAATGACAGAAAAACAATAATTCGGAAAAATTATTTAAAATCCGAAATCGGAAAAAGAAGAAAAAATCATCATAAAAAAAAACATATTTTCCAAATTCTTCTCATTATTATAATCAATTTCAATTGATTGATATATTTCCTTACTTTTTTTAAATTGACTTACTTTTCAATTTTATTGATTTCCTTACTTTTTTCAATTTAATATATTTCCCTTTTTTACTAATACATTTCCTTCCTTTTTAAAAAAATAATTGATTGATTTCCTTACTTTTTTCCTTTTTTTCTTTTTTTCTTTTTTTTTTTTTTTTTTTTGACCGCCAGCGCCGACGGACGGTAGCGCAGCGGTCGCCAGCGTGCGCAGTCGGGCGAGCGGGCGTGCGGGCGGGCGGGCGCGCTGACAGTGACAAATGACTTTCGCGTATGTCAGGGTGTTGCGCATTTTTGTTTAGGGGTTCCAATGGGGGTTCAAGTCCCGTCCCCAACCCCCCTACCCCCTACCCCCCCCCCTTTTCCTCTCTATCTATCTATCACTTCTTTTACTATTTTATTTCTCTTTCTACTATTCTTCCTTTCTTATTTTCGTTCTACTATTCTCCCTTTCTTATTTTCTTTCTACTATTCTCCCTTTCTTATTTTCTTTCTACTATTTTCCCTTTCTCTTTTTCTATTTTCTTGCCTTCTATTCGTCAATCCTCTATTATTATTATTATTATTTTTTATGTTTTAGAGATCATGAATCTATATCAGATTGTTTTCATTAGCGATACAGATAATTACGATGATAATAATGACAATAATAATGATTAAAAAATATCTCACATTACTATCCAAAATCATTATATTCATATAAAACCATAAATCGTCAACCCTTATTTATAACAAAATAATATTGATAAAAAATGAAAAATAAATGAATTCAAAAAACGGAAAAATTAAGTTCAACAATTATGTTAATAGCCATAATGACCGTTTTTTTTGGCGGAAGTGACGGTAGGTGTGGAGGCGAGAGGTGTCACTTTTAGCGTTTTTAGAGTTTTCGAAATTTAATTTTAATCGAAAGGATTTTTTTTATATATTTTTTTTCATTTATTTTTTTTTTTTTTTGTATTTTTGCTTTTTTCTTTGTCTTTTTCTGTCTTTTTGAATTTTGAAATCGATAGTATGATTTCCAGTTTGAGTTTCATGTTATTTTCTCTTTTCATTTTTATATATTTTCTCTATTCTTAGTTTTTTCTTATTATTTCATTTTTCATTTTCTCAATTCTTTTTTTTTTTTTTATTATTATTTAAGAATTCAAAAATCTATATTGCTTGGTTCGCCTTCGCTTTCATTAGGTCTTCAATGGGACGGAAAAAGTGCATAGTAAAAATTGATAAAAAGAAGAGAAATAAAAAAAGTAAAGAAAAATGCGCTTAAAGGTCAAATTTCGATTTTCTTTTACCATCAATCTTCTCTTTCTTTCTTACTTCCTTACTTCTTCTTCTTCACTTCATTCTTCCTTCGCCTTCCTTCCTTTCTCTCTCTCTTTCTTTCTTTTTTCCCACTTTTTTTTCTTTCTTTCTTTCGTTCCCAGTTTCTCACTTTGAATAAAAATCCCTAGAGGCGAAACTTGCATACTCATGGCATTGGGAGGAACAAAGAGCTTTAGCACTAAATACAACGATATAATGATGATGATGAAGCATATGCTGTACTTCCCCTTCCCCCCCCCCCCCCCCACCCCCTTCCCCTAAACACCACACCCAACCACCTTCCTTCCTCTCTCTCTCTCTCTGTCTATCTCTTTCTTATCGCGTGTTAATCTATTCCCTTTTGTCCTTCCCTCCCCACACCCGTCTCATCATCACCTGCTTATTTTCTTTTTTTGCTTTCTTTGTCTAATCGCCTCCCATCTCATCGGCTTTTCTTTCTTTCTCTCTCCCTCCCTCCCCCCCCCCTCTCTCTCTCTCCACGCCCCTTGTGCTTCCTTTCCCCGCCCTTTTTACACACCTAAGTGTCCGTGGGCGTGAGTGGGCGGGTTGAAGGGAAGGGAGGAGAAGGAGGAGGTTTATTAACTTATGGGCGTGGGGGAGGGGGAGGAGGGAAGAGGGGGGGCGGCACCGGTAATTTTGGCCAATCTAAATCAAATGTTTCTCTCTCCGTTTCCTCTTCCTCCCTTTTTCTCTTTCTCTCATCCTCGTTATCGCTCATTTCGTCATTTCTTTCTTTATTTATTTTGGTCGGCGTTTCTCTCTTCTCCGTTCTCTCTCTCTCTATCTCCCTCCCTCTCTCTCTCCATCTTTCTCCCTCCCTGTCTCTCTCCCTCTCTCTCTCCCCCCCTCTCTCTCCCTCCTTCTCCCTCTCTCTCCCCCCCCCTCTCTTATCAACACCGTCATCTCCAACTTATCACTCAATCTCTATCTCCACCATTCTCCTAACGTAATGAATCACACTGATGCATATCTTGAAAGACAAAGCGACATTAACACAAACAGATACGATCTTGACAAGTACAAACAAACACAAACCTCGCGCGCACAAACACAAACGAAGGGGGGGGGGGAGGGCGCGGCGGGGAGGGGGCAAAGTTGAGTTATTTTCTTAATATCGTTCATTACAGTTAAAGGAAGAAGAAGAAGAAAGAGGAAAGAGAAGAAGAAGAAGAGAAGAAGAAGAAGAAGAAGAAGAAGAAGAGAAGAAGAAGAAGAAGAAGAAGAAGAAGAAGAAGAAGAAAAAGAAAGAAGAAAAAGAAGAAGAAGAAGATGAAGAAGAAAAAAAAAAGAAGAAGAAAAGAAGAAGAAAAAGAAGAAAAGTTCGTAAGGCTTCGTTAATCTTATTTTCGTTCTAACTGGTATAGTTCGACCTTCAATCAAGGATTATGTTTACCGAACTTGTTTGCACTAACAACAATTACAGTAACTATTACAACAACGAAATTAACGTCAATAATAACGATAAGAGTTCTCCCGGTTCTAGTTATCACATTTTCCTGTTCTTCTATGGGTATTTGATAATAACACACTAAGAGAACGCAGAAGGAATAAATGAACGACTAAACGGAAGTAAAGAAAATATTTAATTCCTATACTATGTTTTTTTCTATCCCTCACTCAATTTATCCCATCTCTCTCTCTCTCTCTCTCTCTCTCTCTCTCTCTCTCTCTCTCTCTCTCTCTCTCTCTCTCTCTCTCTCTTCCTCCCATAGTTTGTTCGCACAGGAAGCGTGCAAGAGGCAAGGGATGTTGGTTCTTTGTGTCATCTTTGTTTCCTAGCTTTCTTTTCACCCCCCCCCCCCCCCCCCCCCCCCCTCTGCCCCCCCCCCCCCTCTCAGCCAGGAAGTTCTTGCACAGGTGTTGCGATGCCATTGCATTTTTTTTTTTTTTTTTTTTTTTGCTTTTTTTATCGGATATTCGTTCCTAAAGAAGATAACGTGCGATCAGATTATTATTACCGTTATTATCACTATCATTGCTGCTACAACTAACCTACCCTAAATATACTAAACTTAAATTGATATACCATACCTAAACTTCGCTTAAAAGGAACGAAACATTAAAAAAAATACATCAAATTAACACGATTCGAACAACCCATCATAAAATACCCAACTACCACTAGCCCTGTACAACACAACGCGCAGTTACCAGGTACAACCGACGTTCGCGGGTTCCAGTGTCCAGTACAGTACACCCAACGGCCTCTAGTACAAAGCCATGTACTACAACAGAAGCCCAGGAAGCCCCCCGGACGTCGGAGAGATGTAATAAGCCGTAATCTCTCACTTTGGCGTCCTGTGCTAGTCCTTCGTGTCAACATTGGGATGGAACCACCCCTCCTCGCCCCTTTTCTTATCTTTTACGTTTCTTTTCGTTTTCTTTTTCATTTTTTTCGTTTCCCCTTCTTCTTCGTTTCCTTCTTCTTCTTTTTATTTTTATTTATTTGTTTATTCGTTTTGTTTTCGTCGTGGGAGAGCGAGAGGAAGTTTGAAAGGTAGGAATTCAAATTCGATTAGAGAGTGAAAAAAAGGAAAAAGAAAAGGAGAACAACCAGAAAGAGAGAGAGATAGATAGATAGATAGATAGATAGAGAGAGAGAGAGAGAGAGAGAGAGAGAGAGAGAGAGAGAGAGAGAGAGAGAGAGAGAGAGAGAACCCCACAAAGACCCCACACGGAAAAAGTTCCCAAGAAAAAAAAAAGGTTGAAAAACCGATTACAACAAAGTTTTCCCTCCAGAGTCTTCCCTCCCTCCCTCCC